AAAGAGCCCTCTGTGCACCAGAACTCCACAGAACATCTTCAGCATGATCTGAGGGTGAATATATACTACATAAATTGATCTTGTGTATTTACCTTAACTTTTTAATTTTAAAATTGAAACTTTTAAAACTTGGTTGTGCTCTGCTGGAGGGGGATTGGGATAAGCTGCTTACACACATTTGTCTGTTTGTCCAGTAAAATTACATCAGTCTAACATATTCTTGCCAACCTTACTGGCATGTCTTAAGAACAACCATATTTATATAGGCTTGTCTGCAGCAGGAGGTCCCATGATACAGTAGCTTTCTAGAAAGACCACATACTTCATATGAAAAGAAGTCAGTTCTGGGCTGAGGCTAGTTTGCATTGAATCTTTGATATCTGGAACGGCAGACAGAATTGTGTGGGGTTTTTAATAGCGTGCCAACATTGTCATACAATTTTAACACTGCTTATGTGACCTTGCCATGAAACTGCCTTCCAGTGCCGTGACCCAAAGAAGCTACGGATGGGAATCTAGTTTTGGCTTTCCGTTTTTGGTAAAGTTTCATCCCTTGACCCCACACTAACTAGTATGTGTTTGTACGTATAGTTGCAATTCAGGTGCCTTTGGGCAATGGAAGGGCTAATTTTCTGACATGAAAATAGTGACTAATCTTCATGTGTGGCCATAGTATCTCCCATTTATTTTTTTGGCCTAATTTATTATGCTGTCAGAAAAAGGCCCATAGAAGACTGGGGAGAAGAGAGTGGCTTTTTTGCATTGCTCAGACAAGCATCTTTTTTTCCTGTAGAGGTACAGCAGGGATTTCACATGCCAGGGATAGAGAAATTGTATCAATATCTAAGTTCAATTGTGTTGCCTCACAACCTGGATTCATTCCTTGTTTTGCCTAATTTTCCACATGGGTCTTAAATTAAAGACTAATGCTAGTGTCAATATGTCATGCTTGTGTGAGAAAGTAATAATCTGTACATTCTTAAGAAAATAGGTTGTAGCAGACTGATTGCTCTGCTGCTGCAATTTTGTTCCTGTAAGTGGGTAACAAGGAATTTAATCTTAGTGTTCATGCAGATTTTGCATTTTAGAATGTATGCTAGACCCTTCAAAGGAAAGGTTAGACTCTTTGCAAAGCAAACTGGCATTGGTTCTTGATAGGTTATATATAGTGGCACTAAAGTGTGTGACACAGGATAAGGAAAGCAGTTGTACACAGCTGATTGTGTTAAATAAGCTCTCAGTTGCTCTTTATATAAATCTAATTCGAAAAATTTAGTGCTTTGTTAACAGACTTGAAGTTTTAATTTAATCTTATGCTCAAGAGCTGAATGCTGTTCTTGTGTGTTAGTGCACTGGGCTTGGTGAGGTACAAAATAAATAACACACAATGGTCAGAAAGAGCTGGGGAAGGAATGTTTAAAAATCTTTTATCAAAACCCAGAACAGTCCAGTAGCGTCTGTTTTTCTTTTTAAAGTACAAACTGTCAAATTCTAACCGCTGCCGTAACTAAACCGTATACACAGCAGCATCTTGATCATGTTTGTGAACAGATATTTTTCATCATGACAAATCTGTTACTAAAGAAAAAAAACATTCTATTTGAGAGCATAACCAAATGAGAAATTGATATACAGTACATAAAGTCCATTACTTATAGTTTAGTTTGAATCTTTTTGTTAGGAAATCCCTCTAACGTAGGGACCTCTTCTGCAAGCAGAGCACAATAAATGTGCTCTTGAAAGGACCCACTTTTTTCCAGTATAAATGGACAGCTGTCTCCTTGACGCTAGTGGTCACTGTGCATCTTTTTGCTGGCAAGGGAATGCACTGAGACCTTGTGACCCCCAGGTGTCAATGACAAAACTAAATAAAGCAAAAATGATCAAAAGTCCCAATACTTGAGCGACAACTTTTTATTCAAGGAAGATTATCCCTGAAGCTCTTCATCAGCAGTTCATGTTTAACAGAGTTTGAAATTATACAGAGCCTGGCTGCATTTATTACTGCCAAAAGCCAAGGTCATTTGCACATATCCCATCAATTTATCCAGAGTAGGTCTCAGTTAATCCGAGGCATGAAAATGCATGCATTTTCTTAGCTGGGCAAACAAGTACATTATACTGTAGTTGTGATACAACACATGTGGCTTTTATTTGTACTGCACATACCCACTGTACAGCCACTCAGAAGTATTGTGGTTAGCTTGCAGCATCTGCTGTCTGCATTTATACTGTTTACTGCATATTCTTTTCCCTGGAAGTTAAAGAAAAATGTTATTTTTTTTCTTGTTGCATTGATTACATTTTATAAATTTGCTTAGCTGGAAAGTTTGGGAAAAGAGGCCTGTTTGTCAATTGTACAACCGATTGTGAAGCTCTAGTGTGAATATTTTTACGTCTGTATTAGACATTTTCTTTGCAAATCTATTGTTCGATTGAAATGTAAATGAAATAAACGATGGTGTACACCCATCATGTATAAAGCAGGCACCATCGCTACGATGGATTTAATGCTCATTTTTATGGCGCATTCTCAGCTTCTATTTAAAACTATAATTTAAAATCTGTAAAATGAAATGGGGATATATGGGGGGGGAATAAATTCTATTCCGTTTCCTTCGGGTTTGAATTTCCAAATGGTAATGTTTCCCTTTGTGTGATAGGAATAGGATTCAACGGGGAAGCTAGACCGCGGGGTCTGTACGGGGGGGTGGGAAAAGGGGAGCGGTGGGGAGGGGGGGGCTTTGTGACAGTGCTGACTAGCAGAGTGAGTCGTGTGTGTTTGCTGTAGCACTGAAGTGAGGAGGTGTTAGCTTTGGCTGCTCACGGGTAGAGCATCATGGTTTTCAGTGTGTCGAGAGAAACTCGATGGCAGGAGTTTGCAGTACTTGACCTGTATTTGCATGCAGAAAATAAAAACTATTTGTCCACCTGAAGCGTGTGCGCCTCTGCTTGACTACCTCCAACAGCACGGGTCCCAGCACAGATCCCGGGGCGGGCGTTCACTGCTCTCCACCCTAAAACCTCTGACCCTTTACATTCGCTCTTTGCTTTCTAGTAGGGAATAACCAAGGGAATGACGAGCCAAGCGGAAAGCACCCTCCCCACCCAATCCATAGTGCCTGCACACTTGGGGCATGCACGCCTGCACGCCTGGGGTCTGGGGGTTGCACCGTGCCTGCACACTTCTCAGCCCAGCAGAACCAGGGGTCACACCGTGAAAGAGGTAGCTTAAAAATGGACACAAGGAAGTGGTTTTCCTTTTCCCCCCAGCCTGGCATAGTCCCCTTTCATGCCAGGCTGGGGGGAAGGGAACAACTCTCCCCCTTCTCCTCCCCTTCCTTGCACCTGCTGCGCTCAGCCACGTTCCCCCTGCAGGCAAGGCGCAGGCTCCCAGCACGTCACAGCTCCCCCCCTCCCCTCCCTGGGGGCGGGGCTGGTGGACACAGCTTCCGCCGGGGATTGCGCGGCCCGGCCCATTCCTGCGTGGGGGGGGGAGCCATCGCCTCCGCGTTGTGGGAAGTGGTAGCGTCCGCTGGCCTGTAACACTTCGCATGCTTTGCGGCGCCAGTCGGCGTTGGGCGGCGCCGGAGGAGGGTCGGGCGCGCTGAGGTACCGGGGGGGGAGGGTCGGGCCTGCTCCTCGGCCCCGGGTCCTTCCGCAAGGCGGGGGGCACCGGGGTCACCCGCCCCAACGGCGTCCTTTGGGCCTAAAACACCCCCGAGGACTCAGTGGCCCAGCCAGCCCTTCCCTGAGGCCCAGCCTCAACATTCCCTGCTGCAGCCCGCGCCCATTGCTCACCGCGCCCCTTTGTTTTTAGGCGGGGGGGGAGGAGTCGGTTGATTAAACACACCTGAAATAACTGAGTTGCGCGTGGTCCATAAACCGCCTTCATCTTTTTCGTATCCACCTTTCAGAGCACGATGACGACTTTGGACGACAAGCTGCTGGGCGAGAAGCTCCAGTATTACTACAGCAGCAGCGACGGGGAGGACGAAGACAGCGAGAGAGACGACAAAGACGACGGCGCCCTTTGCGATGCCATCGGCGGGGAGGGGGAGCTCGCGGGCGATGGCAGCGTCACGAACACAGGTATCGCCGCGTAACGCCTGGTTTGATTTGCAGGTGCACGGATCTCCTCCCTTCCTCTTGCGCGGTCGTTACGGATCGTTGCCGTCGTCATTTAACGGCGAGCGCTTTATTTGTCCCTTCGGTTTCCTGCCGGAAGACGTGCCGCGCCTGCCGGACAGCAGCTTCGTAAGCAAAGCCGGTTAGGTTTGCCCAAGCGAGACGGGCACGATTGTTCGGGTATCCGTCACACGGAGTAGTCGGCATCAGAATTTGGTTGCTGTATTCGGTTGCTTCTCTAGGACAGACTAAGTTTTATTCTCCTGTACAAGTTCCCATCCATTGCTGAAGGGCAGGAGTCGGTATTTATAACGGGGACGGTTCTAGCTAGCGCCATAAATAGCGGCTCCCCCCAGGGCCCAGCAGCCGCGTAATAGCACGACGTAATCCATCGCTGACCACGTCTGCTTTGTTCAAGGGCATACGCAGCTTTAGTCAATTAGCCTTTTTCTGGCACGTCTGTACTTGGGAAGAGGAAACATTTCCATGCTAAGGATACCTCTGAGCCTTGGTGGTAATGCTTCAAGGAGCACGGGTATTAGTCTGCACACTGTGTTTTTGAGATGGGTAAATTGTGTACAAAGTCTGTGTAACACCAGGAGGAAAACAGACCAAAAGTAGCTATGTGATTTTCTGAGGGACATCGGTTACTTTCTCCCATTCCTGTGCTTTGTTGCAGCATATCGAGCAGTATACAATAAGCCTCCAACATGGGCTGTAATTTTGGCTGCGGCACATTGAAACGCTTTGCATTTTACCTTCAGGTCCAAAAGGTGTCATTAACGACTGGCGAAGATTCAAACAGCTGGAGACGGAGCAACGAGAGGAGCAACGCCAAGAAGTGGAAAGACTTATA